TTAAAGAATTTAATTGGCTAGTTCACTATAGTAAAGGTAATTTTAATATATTTGATTTAAAAATTCGCTATATCAAGGGTTCACTATATCAAGGTTTGACTGTATATTTAAATTGCTTAGAGAAGAGTATTTATAATTATCAAAGCTATATCAAATAATTGCTGGTTAGATATAATACGAACGTTTGAATCCTAACATAATTTGATGAATAATATAATAATTCTGACTGTGCAAGCTAATCTTGATAAAAATACATTCCCAGTCGATAAAAATGTTATTTGATATGATCCATGAACGTTACTGACACCAAAGGGAATCACATCTCTTAAAGAGAAAAGCTGTTAAAGATCAAGATAACAATTAAGAAGATAATACAAAAATACTCGTGCCAAAGAAGTAAGTAACTAATCGATATTTAATTATATTTATTATTAACTATCACATATAATTATAGAAAAGACTGTGTCGAGCTTAAATAATCAAACGGTTACAAAAAAAAAGGGATTCTTTGATTAAAAAGTTTACGAAAACTGAACTTGCCCCAGTTATGAATGATAATAAATATCATTCACTGGAAGAAAGTGAAATGGATCCAAATCTTCCAGAAGGTAAAAGGATAATTGTCATTAAAGGTCTTGGTTAGCATTCGTCAACAGTAAGTTTATAATAATATTATTATTATTATTGTTATTGTTGTTATTATTTTAATCGTTATTTACTAATTGTTTTCAGGCTCATAAATTCTTGCGAGATTATGTTGATAGAATATTTGAATAACTTTTTAAGTCTATTTGAACATGAATCTGAGTTCATAGAATGTCATATAATTCAACTGATGAACTTCCATTCAGGGCTCCTACTTAAACACTTTTCAGATACAATGAACATTTGAAGAAATGTGTCTATAAAGCTTATAATAAACGGTATTCAGATGGAATTCATCAAGAGAAAAGTCCAAGAAACTCCTCTGACGACAATCAGTAATTTGTATATTAATGGTTATATTTATGTTCCTTATTTTAATTTTTAATCTTTTATTTATTTTAAGTATCTTATCGGTAATACCTAGTAGAGATAATTAATAGGATTTGGCTATAAAATGAATGTTTTAATGATGTAAACATATATAATTTAAGAAGCAATTTGGCATAAATTGCATAACAAATTAATTGAATATTTATTAATCAGTAATTGTTTTTAATATCATTTTGTACATCAGTTTATATAAATCTGTTATAAATAGAAATAAATTAGTATAAATCAATGAGAAAAAAATTATAATTCAGTGTACTGAATTATTTACTGAATGATATCAAAAACTATCATATCTAATTATTTCTTAATAGGATCTAATTATAGGCCATAAATTGACATCATTCGGTATATCTCGAATGATTACTATTTGAAAATATCAGAGATCATTTAGATATCCTATTTATATCTGAATTGATATTCTTCAACTAGTGTCGCTTGGCCTTTCATTTTATCTTTTCAGCCTCTTGATGAAAAAGTGTAGTGGGATATCGAGAAACTCTGAAAGCTCAGATTAGGTCATGATGTTATATCACAAATATACAGTTTAAGAGAAACTATATACAGTCATACCTCTCTATAGCGAATTTTTATATAACGAATTTTTTGGATAACTATATTAAATTTACTCTCGTTATAACGAACTAGCCAATCAAATTCTTTAAAAAATTCACTATAGCTCTATAGCGAAGTTGAAGTTCAGGACATAAAATTCGTTATATCAAGGGTTGACTGTACTTCAAGAGAAAAAAGTTTAAAATGAAAATTAATTTCAAAATATATAAATCGATACATAAACCAGCTATTCATAGTTAACAAAAAATGGCATTTTATTGATATCCATATATTCTTAGGACTGGAAAAGTTTATAATCAGAGGTGCTACAACCCAAAAGGATGCTATTACATCAGAATTCTCCTTCATATGTATCTTATATTGAATATGATAAACCAACTTATTCTGGATATGAATTTTGCAATCTACACGTTAGAAAGTATCGTAAAAAGGAATAGTATCATCGAAAAAAAGCTTGCAAAATTTGAGAATATATCCTAGCAAACTGTTCTAGAAAATCTGTCCTAGTTTCTATCCTAATTGTCAAAGTTTTCTAGAACGAATGAAATATAACTAGATTGTAATATTAAGACAAATGAAAGGGAAAGAAATAGTTTGTCCTAGTTGTCTTAGTTATCCTAGTAAATTTCGGACTTTACTTTTTTTATTTTTTTTACCTATAGATATACCGGTATATAGCATATATATAGCATATATATATTATACATATACCATAGGATAGGTTACGATTTTTTTTTCTAGAATTTTTATTTTTACTAGAATACTAGAACAACTAGGACATAATATAAAAGAATAAGTTAAATCAAAGAAAGAAGCTCTTTTTCCATAACAAAATCTGTCCTAGTTTCTGTCCTAGTTATCTAAGTAACTTGAACAGAATTTTCTAGCAACCAAATGGGCTGACTATAGCACATGATATAAAACCGTTAATAATAACCCTATTTAATTCTGTTTTATTTTAATCCGATCCATTATTAAAAAATTAAGTAGCCAATTAAAATCATTTAAAGATCAGATTAAATAAACGGATCAACAAATCAAAAAATTTCATGATCCAAATATTTTGAAAAAAAAAATACGCTCACATTTCATATCATTAGAATGACGTATTTAAATTTAATGAATCCAAAATTTAATATATGTTTGAAGCCTGTTCCTATACTTCCAAAACCAATCATAGTAGAAATTTCAAATTTTTTTCTTAATGAGTTTGTGTTTGGGTCAGCATTTACTTTTAAAAGACTAATTGATTTTATAGAGATTTGTATTTTTTTTTTATCTAAAATCTTTTCAATATAATTATTAATACATCTATATATATAGTTGAATACAAATATTATTACTATATAAGAAGATTCACAAATTTAATGAAGAACTTTTTTTAATAAGATTTATCTAAAATTTTAATTAAACATTTGTATCTGATACTTATTTTTTTTACACTATTTAGCCATCAGTTAAAATAAGAAATAAAAATAAAAGGTCTTTCAAAAAGAAAAAATCCAAGTGAAGATAATACCAAATAGACAGATATAGAAATTAAAAGTTTACTTACATTTTGGAGTAAACATTTAGAAGAATAGAAGCGAAGAAAAACAAAAGTTTATCAAAAGATAGTAAATGCAAATATATTACCTAATCGATCTTTGAGCAAATTAAAAATAAAGTAGAAAAGTTATGCGAAATGTACTTGCAAAAAAAAAGCTATTTCTACTGGTAAAGGAAGTGTAAATTGATCTTAGTTTTCACAAATAAAAGAAATTTTGGCATAAAGCAAAACTGTTAATTCAGATTATATTACAGATTCTTCAATTACAGATTCTATTTCTGATAATGAAAATTTAAATAACAAAGAAAATTATGAAGCTGATAAATCCAAAAAGAAAAAAAAGTAAGTAAACAGAATTGAAGGTTTATCTGGAATGATTGCTGTAATGGAGGAGTCAAAGGATAGGTTTTATGAAAAAAAATTAGATTTAGAAGAACATGAAATTAATAGAAAAGTTACATGCTGAAAATGAAAAGGTTAAATTGGAGTTAGAAATATTAAAATTTCATAAAAATAACGAATAATAAAGCATTTGTTTGATTTTACTTAATAAATTTTTTAATAAAATGTCAATTTATGAATTTTAATTTTCATTAATATTTTTATTCATAATTTCAATTTTAAAGTGTTTTTATAAATATAAGTCAATATTTCGTTAACGAAGTGCAATATCGGCTTCGTTTGATTTGCATTGAATGATTCATTATCATTATTTGAAACAAATAATTTTTTTATCATTCGATTTGCATCAAACGATTTGTCATCATCATTCAGAATTGAATGATGATTTTTATTGTTTGATTTATATTGAATGATTCTTCATTATCATTTAAACTGAATGATGATTCTTTTATCGTTCAATTTAATCAAATGATTCTTCATCATCATTCAAAATTGAATGATGATTTTTATCATTCGATTTAATCGTTCAGAATTAAATGATGATTATTATTATTTGATTTACATTGAATGATTCATCATCATCATTCAGAATTGAATAATGATTTTATCGTTCAATGCAAATTGAACGATTCTTTATCATTGTTCAAACTGAATGATAATTTTTTTATCGTTTAATTTGATTAAATGATTCATCATCATCGTTCAGAATTAAATAATGATTTTTATCATTCGATTTGATCAAATGATTCTTTATCATCATTCGGAATTGAACGATAATTTTATCGTTCAATTTGCATCGAACAATTCTTTATCATCGTTTGAACTGAATGATAATTCTTTTATCATTTAATTTGATCAAACAATTCATCATTATCATTCGAACTGAATAATGATTTTTTTATCGTTCGATTTGCATCGAATGATTTGTCATTGTCATTTGGCATTGATTTATTTATTATTTTTATACATAAAACACATTTATTTTAAACTTTAAGTTTACAAATGTAAATTTTATTTTACTAATTATCCTAGAATTTATTTATATAGCAAATTGATTTAACATTTCTTCTCTTTTAAATTCTCCTTCTAACTTCAAAATCTTATTACTTTTATTATTAAAATCATATTGATTATTATAATCATAATCATCCTGTTCTATAATTTCTCAAGTTTCACCACTTATTTTAAGAAAATTATGTAATATTATAGCACAATCAGCTAAATTAATAGCTGTTTTTAAATCTTTAACAGAGATTTCTTTTAAAGCTCTAAATCTAGCTTTCAATCTATTAAATATATATTTTATAACAACCCTATACTTTGAATGAATAAAATTAAACTGATGTTGCCTATGATTAGAAGGATTTTTAAAAGGAGATATCAAAAAGGGAAAATTGGATATGCTGAATCACCTAACACATAATCTTCATCTTGAATATATTCTGTTATTAAGATAAAAATCTGAATTGCTATAAACTCATGCATTATGTACCAATTCAGGCCATCCTATTCATCCTATTACATAATTAATAAAAATTCCTTTAAAATCAACAATTTCTTGACATTTTTTTTCCTTATAAAGTATGCTGTTGGATCTTATGTTGATGTCTCAGTTAAAATAAAATGAGTTCCATCTAACATTTTGAAATTCACCAATATTTTGAAATCCTGTATGAATAATACTTTGATTATTATCTTTAGGCCATTGAATAAATTCTGATTTTTTATTTTTTATTGCTTTCATTACACGATTAACATAAAGAATTACAGAACCTTCTGATACTTCAAATCGAAAATAAATACTCATGATATCATCTTTAGAATCAAGTTGTCAAAGAAATATTACTAATTAAAAATTAACAGATGCTTGTAGCTTATTTCCTTTATCTTAAAATACTATATAATGCTGTAAGATTTATACTAGCCTATTAAATTGTTGTTTTTCCATTCTTAATACTTTTTTATATCATATATTATCATATAAAAGTAAGATTTCATACTACCAATGTTTAGATTTAACAACATTATGTGTTCGAGAAACAAGATAACGACTAGAAGACAAAGCAAGAAGAACTATTTTTATT